ACTTAGTTTTTTAATTAGCAAGGGGGAAAAGGCCAAAAGACAAGGGCCTCTTCTCCCATTGGTTTTCCTGTGGGCAGAAGGGCCGAGGAAGTTGGCCCAGCCCATGGGGGCTGCTGTGTCACCAGCAGTGGGTAGGGTGCAATCTGGTGTGTGCTCCAGCAGCAAGACGGTGTGACTATGAAGGTGGCGTCCATCTGCGGAGCCAAAACCCAGCCGTCAGGGAAGGGCCAGGGCTTCCTATGGAACTTGCAGTGTGCCAGGACCCCCTGCAAAAGCCAGGGCATGGTGATCATTCTCAGATCACTGACTGGCCTCTACTTGGGTATGTGAATTATTCATGCCCCAGAAGACCAAACAGTGCTCTGGTTCTGAGATGAATATCTTATTTGGGCTGTGTTTCCAGAACACTTAGCAAAGAAGACCAGAATGATGTGGAGTCGCTGCACCCATCTTTGAAGATACCCGGTGTCCCCGGATGAGGTGATGATTTCTTGTCCCAAGGACTCCGTTAAGTTTAGGGTACAGTTTGTTGGGGTTCAGATGACACCATCTTTACCCCACCCAAATAAAAAGGCACTCATCTCTACAGAGCATCTGCCGTCAAAGGCCAGCCTGTCGTCGGAACATGGCTTGTGCTTGACAAACCAGAAACGAGTGTAAGACAGTGGGATGTGTTCCAAGCGATTCACTAGACAATCTTCACATGAATGTTGGTAGCCAGGGTCTCTCCCGAGGGAGGGCTTTAGTCTTGATGAATGTGAACCACATCGGAATTGTTAGGTAGAAGCCTGGCTGGGGGGCCTTGGACCCCAGGATCCATGCCTGGCTTCCCCAGCCTGTGGCCGCAAGCAGAACCACGCATGAGATGCAGCTAGCGCCCTTCACATCCATCCCCGTTCCCAGCAGGATGATGCCATGGACAGCCGTTTCTGGAGCCTCCAGTGTTTATACACCACTACTCACCCTCTCTGCTGTTGAAGTATTGGTAAAGTCATCCCTGTAATCAAGAAATGGCCTGTGGAATGTTATTGTTCAATGTTGTTTACAGCTCTTAAAATGTGGTGAGGAATGCCTCTTAGTGACCAAACTTGACCTTGAAAGCAGACATAGCACGACAGACCTTCCAGGAGTCTTTGCTTGGGTTCAAAGTGACTGAGAGTCAGGTCCAGCACACACCTGGGAAAGGGATGCCGCCCCAAGGGGGACCAAAAGGGCCGGACGTTACAGGGTGAAACCCTCTGACCCCTTGCAACACCGTAGGACTTGACTTTTCTTTAGTCTTTCTAAGAAATAGATCATGGAGCCAAGTGAAGTGCACTTTGTCAAATGTAAGGGTCTGCTTTGTTCTTGTTGCTTTTCTCTTAACCTTTCGTTCCGCCATTTAAAAAAAAAGCTTATGTTTCTTGTCAAATGCAGAAATGTTCTTTCCGCCACTCACTGAAATTTTGCATTCTGGCTTGTGCAGTTTTTATTGTCTGTGTCAGACGTACAGCCAGGCGTGTTCTCTATTGGCATTTTTCAGATTCTGTTCAGATGACACTGACCCCCGTTTCATTCTCCCTGCCACCTGTACTCACCCTCACGCTCTTTGAAGAAAAAAAAATCACGTTGTGTGTTGTAGCTCATTTGTTTCAAGAGAGAATCAACAGATCATATTCAGTGTCTTGAATAAATTGCTCTATTTTGATATTAGAGAACTTGGTGCATGTGCTTTCTTTCTCTCGCTCTGGAACTCGGGCCCACGTTGACTGAATGACTGAAGACAGAGCTCTGTATTTTCCCCAGAAGGAAGTACTTTGAGTGCCTCTGTCCAGGATTGCTGTGTGAGACAGGGACCCGGGGGGCGGAACGCAGTAACGGGGCGGTCACAGCAGCCGCTTGCTATTCGGAAAGGTGGTTGTGTCCGGGGAGAATGCTTTTTAGTGTGTTTCCTTTTCATTCTTTTATTTCAGGCTGGCTGTTGGAAAAAGTCAGAACAAATGAATATTCTCTCATCAGCAGATTGGTTGACCGGGAGTTTGAGTTCCCGAATTAGCCCGGAGTAATTTGCAGAACCTAACAGGATAGGGCGACTTTGGACATGGTTTTCTGCATAGGGCAAACCAACATGTGGCAAACATTTATCAACATTTGCTCTGTGCATGTCTTCATTTATGCCGCCTTCATTAATAGGTGGCTGTTAAATAATGTAATTAGTGAATGGATATTGCTATCCACATTCTGTGAAGGAAGCTGTGGATTCCGGGAGGTGAAGAGATGGGTTTACTCTAAGGTTTCACTGTGCAGATGAGTCCCAGACAAAGTCACGGGGTCATTTCCCTCTAATCCTGCTTGTCCCACACTAGGACAAAGCAGATGGCTGGGTGGGGGCATAGAGGCTTCTGTGGTGATTCCCTGGGAAAGACCCAAGCATGCCTGTGGCCTTCACTGATAATCCAGACTTTTGCAGGGACCAAATCCCAGATTCAAGTCTTGAATTGACAACTGAAGACTGAATGGTGCGTGAGTAGTCGTCACCGTTAGAGAAAAACCTATCCCAATCTCCCGGTGTTGTCTGGGGTTCACCTGCTCGTTTTCATTTTTCTCTCTAACCCATGCCAAGTGGAGCCAGTGTGCTCCCAGGTGGTGGTTTTGGGGCAACCTGAGGGGTACTACAGAACCCTGGGACACCTCAGAAGAACCGCGTGGAAACAGTGGCAGACAGCAAAGCACGCAGCAGAGTTTCCAGGATAAATGCATGCATGGCGGGTGGCTTTGCTGGCCCCCTAAGAATGCCAGTGACATATGACTAGCTCTAAATGGGTTTCTTTGTGCTATGGAGGAAACTTGATTAGGACCACAATTGTAAGAATTTATATAATTTAACTCTTCAGATGGAGGGAACCCTTCCTTCCCTGAAGTAAGTCTCAAAAGGTTTCCCCCCCTTTTTTTTTTTTTTTTTTTTT